CCATATTTTGTATTCTCTAAAATCTATGCAATTGTTTAATTGAGACAGTTATTTTTTATTTATATTAATTATATATTTAATATATAATAATATAATATATATATATTTTGTATGTTATGCATTTGAATTGCGGTATTTGGTGGGAGTGGTGAATACGAAGAAAGAGGTTTGCAGTCATAAAATATAGAGTTTGAGAACACGTCATAAAACAAGTGGTACAGTCGGTATTGTACACCACGTGGAGTAGACGTTGCATTTTATATCAAAAAGAAAAAAAAGTTAAAACATTTCAATAGAACAATGGTGTTAGATTTAGATCTATTTCGAAAGGACAAAGGTTTTGATCCTGAAAAAGTACGTGAAAATCAAAAGAAACGTTTCAAGGATGTAGCATTAGTAGATTTGGTTATTGAAAAGGACAAATATTGGCGACAGCTGCGTCACCGTGCCGACAATTTAAATAAAGTTAAAAATTTATGTAGCAAAGAAATAGGTGAAAAAATGAAAAAGAAAGAGCCGATCGGTGACAGTGACGTAGTACCTGATGAAATATCTAACAATTTAGATAATCTTGTATCTGACAATCTCAAACCGTTGACTGTCAAACAGATTAAAAGTATTCGTACTTTGATTGACAGTGCTATTCAAGAAAATGTTGAGAATTTAAGTTTAACTGAGTCGGAAAGAAATAATGCTCTTAGAGAAGTAGGCAATCATTTACATGAATCTGTACCGGTCAGTAATGACGAAGAAGAAAATAAGGTATACCAGTTGTTAGATGTACGATTAGATTTTAACGATTGAAACATATATCATATGTTTTTTAAAAATTATAGATTGAAAGAACTTATGGAGATTGTACGGAAAGAAAGAAATATTCTCATGTAGATTTAATACATATGATCGATGGAATGGATGGAGAACGTGGAACTTCGGTTTCCGGTGGAAGAGGATACTTTTTGACTGGACCTGCTGTTTTTCTTCAACAAGCGCTTATAGATCTAGCATTAAAAAAATTATTTGACAAAGATTATAAACCATTGTATACGCCATTTTTTATGCGCAAGGACGCGATGCAAGAAGTTGCTCAACTTTCTCAGTTTGATGAAGAATTATATAAGGTTTTATTTATATATTTATACTATAATTTGTATAAGATATATATGTATTGTTTAATTATTAAGTATATTAACGAATAAACTTATTTTTTTTCAGGTCATTGGTAAAAGTAGTGAGCGCAATGAAGATAAAGATACAGAAGAGAAGTACTTGATAGCTACATCGGAACAACCCATTGCTGCCTTTCATAGAAACGAATGGATTTCAGAAAATGTTTTACCTGTTAAATTTGCTGGAATTTCTACTTGTTTTAGGCAAGAAGTTGGATCGCACGGTCGCGATACTAGAGGAATTTTTAGAGTTCATCAATTTGAAAAGGTAATTTTAATATTCTATATGCATTACATTTATTAATATATATTTATAAGAAAAATTAATTACATATCTATACGTAGGTAGAACAATTTTGTTTAACTTCACCTTACGATAATAAGTCGTGGGAAATGATGGAAGAAATGATAAGTAACGCGGAAGAATTTTATAAAGAACTCGAAATACCCTATCGCATTGTGAATATTGTTTCTGGTGCTCTTAATCATGCAGCTTCTAAAAAACTTGATTTAGAAGCATGGTTTCCTGGTTCTGGAGCATTTCGTGAACTCGTATCCTGCAGTAATTGTTTAGATTATCAAGCTAGAAGACTTTTAGTTCGGTATATTATTTTTATTTTAATATAAAGTTAATATTTTAAATATATATTTTAAAATGCAATTTACTCATATATAATCATATTTTTCAGATATGGTCAAACTAAGAAAATGAATACAGCAACCGATTATGTTCATATGCTAAACGCAACAATGTGTGCAGTTACTCGTGTAATATGTGCAATATTGGAAGTACATCAAACAGAAACTGGTATCAAAGTTCCAAAAGCTCTTGCTCGTTATATGCCTTCCAAATACGAAGATGAAATTCCTTTTGTTAAGCCTGCACCGATCGATGAGGCTGAAACTAAAAAACAAAAAAAGCAAAAGGAACATGCTGCATAATAAATTTAAATGGGGGTTATAACAAATTTATGCAATTTTATTTATTGCATTTAATATATTTAATTAAAATATTATGATATAGGATAAGTAAATAATGTTTAATTTAAATTATGCACTTTTTAGTATATCTGTATTTGTACTTTGTCGCTAAAATGCTTATATAAGAAAAAAAATATTTCCTATAACTCTGAATAATGAAAGCCATGCAATAAACACGAAATCATACATTAAACTTGTTATTCTGCAATTTAAACAAATTGTTTATTTCATTAGTGTTCTCAAATTTTATATTTTCCCCTAGAAAAATAAAATATTAAAAATTGTATCAGATGTGGAGTGAAATTAGCTGATATTCAGGCGTCACTATTTGCTTACCTAGTAATTTTTTTTTGTTAATTCCTTCATATATACATGTGACGAATCATTACGATTAGATGTTTTTTATTTAATGATTTATCAATAATACTTTAGGTCAATTAGAAACTTTAATCTCTAACTTAACATCATTTATTTAATGGATAGCAATGTTTACTTGAAGCTTTCAACTATTACCACTGATATCGCCTTTACACTTTACGAATGATCCCTCACGAGAGGTTATAATTTTTAACCTAAAATTAAGACTCCCATCTAATAGGGTTATCATTTTGTTGTGATTTACTATTCACACACACACACACACACATATAACATGGTAAATAAAATAATCATATATATTATATATATAAATATATATGTTTATATTTATTCATTTATTAACTTTAATTTAATTAATTTATTTATTTATTTTAGGATGTTCAAAGACATTCTGTGCACACTCTTGTATTTCGATCATTAAAAAGAACACATGATATGTTTTTATTAAATCAAGGTACTTTACCACCTGTAGATCCAAATCTGTAAGTTTCAATTAAAATTAATGTAATTAAATTTTTGTATATATATTGTTAACTTATGTGTGTACTTTATTTATAGTCAAACTATGAAAAAATCAGTGAAAGCAAAGGATTGTTATGGTCCTGTGATGGAACGCGTTAAGCACAATATGATGACAAAAGTACAAAATGAAAATGACAATCCGGATCCACCGCCACCAGGAGGTATGCATTTTTTAATTATATCTAATATTTTATTATAATAATAATAATGTTTTAACAATATTATTTATTTCCATTTTTAGATGAATCCTTTGGTAGAAATGCTCCTTCCTCGGTTATAGCATACCATTCAACACCAAGCAGTATTGTAGCGACTACACCATCCACGTTAGGAAATAATTCTACTAATACTGCGGTTGCTGTACCCATAAAAAAAGCTCCTTCTATGGCAAAACCAAAATGGCACGCGCCATGGAAATTGTACAGAGTAATTAGTGGTCATCTTGGCTGGGTACGATGTTGTGCTGTTGAACCTGGAAACGAATGGTTTGCTACTGGATCTGCGGATAGAGTAATAAAAGTAAAAGAATATTTTTATTTTAGTTTCTTTTTGATATTATTTAAAAATGATAATGTTTTAAAGATAAATATTTTTTAGATATGGGATCTTGCAACAGGTAAATTAAAAGTATCTTTAACTGGTCACATAAGCAGTGTTCGTGGACTTGCAGTCTCACAAAGGCATCCGTATTTGTTCTCTTGCGGTGAAGATCGTCAAGTTAAATGTTGGGACTTGGAATATAATAAGGTTCTATTATATATTCTTATATTATATAAATATTTATTTGTGTAGAAATTGTTTATAAAATCTTTTATTATTTTGTAGGTTATTCGACATTATCATGGTCATCTGTCAGCTGTCTATTCTATGGCTTTGCATCCTAGCATAGATGTATTAGTGACAGCAGGTAGAGATTCCACAGGAAGAGTTTGGGATATGCGTACTAAAGCTAACGTTCATACCCTAGTTGGTCATACTAATACTGTTGCCAGTGTTATTTGTCAAACAGCAGAACCTCAAGTAAGTTAATAAATAAATCATAGCTATTATAAACAATGCATTAAAATTATATTTGTTATTTTAGGTTATCACAGGGAGTCATGATTGTACTATACGTTTATGGGACTTAGCAGCAGGTAAATCGAGAGCTACTTTAACGAATCATAAAAAAAGTGTGAGAGCAGTTACATTCCATCCATCATTGTTAGTATTATTTTATCAAAATGTTTTATAATTAGTAACAAAATTATCACTGCATGAACATTCGTGTATTCGTAGGTATATGTTTGCATCTGCATCGCCAGATAATATTAAACAATGGAAATGTCCAGAAGGTAAATTTATTCAAAATCTGTCAGGACACAATGCCATAGTTCATTGTTTAGCTGTTAATGAAGATGGAGTATTAGTTTCTGGCGCAGACAACGGTACTATGCATCTTTGGGACTGGAGAACAGGGTAAATTTACTTTTCAATGTGTACTTAATTGCATAATTAAAGATATTACTTTGTTTATTAATTTAACTTACAAGTTGATTGCGTATATTATTTTAATTTGTAGATATAATTTTCAACGATTACAAGCACCAGTTCAACCTGGTTCAATGGATAGCGAAGCTGGCGTATTCAGTATTACGTTTGACATATCCGGTACTCGTATGATTACAACGGAAGCGGACAAAACAATAAAAGTTTACAAAGAAGACAATACTGCGGTATATATTTTTGCAAATAAATAATACAGTGCAATTACAAAAATGCAAAAAAGGCTTTATATTTATATAAATTATTTGATGTTATTTTTAGACTGAAGAATCTCATCCTGTCAACTGGAGACCTGACATAATAAAGCGAAGAAAATATTAAATAATAATTGTAATAATTTAAGATAAAATTATAACTTTATGATTACTTTTAATTTAACATTTGTATTTAATTTAGAAAAAAGAGAAAATAACGAGACGCAATTACTTATTTTATATATTAAAGCTCTTCATCCATATCAAAGTCTTCTTCTGGAAAATCTCCAGCTTTAACATGAGCTGGTTTTACAAATCCACCATATTTGGGTGAACATTCAAAATATTTCTTTCCATTTACACTATAAATAAAATATTGCTTAATATATTAAAATTCTCTTTCTATATAGATCATCCTGATGTTACTTACGTTCCATCATTTTTACCAAGCGGTTCATCATATTTTACACCAACCCACCAACCTTCTTTAAATTCTGTTTTACCAACGTACATGATAGTACCTCTTCGTTTAGGTTGATTTGGAACACTAACTTCGCATCTATCTCCTGCTTTGCATAATTCAGCTGCAGCTTTTTCCGCTTCTTCTTCCCGTAATTTTTCTTCCTCTCTTCTTTTCATATCCTCTTCGTTGTATTTTCCCAACTTATTTTTTGCTAAAAATGCCTTTACAGTATCTACAATATACAAATTATAATTCTTTTATAAAATATTGTTCTGTAGAAAATATCGACCACTTATTCATATTGTTTAATTTTGTTTTCTTTAACTGGTACAAATTTCTACCTGATCTTTTAGCATACTCCTCTTCAGATATTTCAAACTTTTCAACTTTACTCAGATCATCTTCGGTACGTGAAAAATTATCTACGACCTACAATTTTATTAAAACGCTTGTATGATTTGATTATTAAAATTTAAATAAATGTAACGTTGTTTGTTTGTTTTGCAAATATATTATACATGTATTCTCATGCCATCATCAATTGGATAAGATCCTAAGAGTCGTTGTCCATCGGCTAATTTACAAATTAAACTATCATTTTTATCGTATACTTCTATAGTCATTGTCATTGGATTTCCTCCAGTGAGTAATTCTAATTTTCCCTAAAATTCAACAAAAAGAAAGGATTATTATTTTTATATCAAATATAGAAATAAGAAATAACTTCCATTTATTAAAATACATGTACCTTAAATTCGTCGATTGTAATACCCTTTTGAAATCTTCTTTCAATGCAAGAATTTTGAGTACCTGAGTTTGTGATATTCAAATTAATAAAATCAGACGTAATAATCTTGTAATCACTCATTTTGATTTCTAATAAAATTAAATTAATATGAAACTTAGTTGCCGGCAATCTTTGACGTTATCTTCTACAATTTGGAGGTTATATGTCAGTAGTGTAACTATCAAAGCGACTATGTATACATATATTCTATGATTCAATATATGCGTCTATATATTTTGCGTTATATATATATATATATATATATGATATGTAAATATATGCCTATATATATATATTTATGTACAAGTAACATTATTAAAAAATAATAATGATAATGATATAAGAAAACTAACAATAAAAACATTAAAAGGGAATGATTCAAGAACAAAAAATACACCAGGTTTTGGGTATAAAAAAAATTTTGCATGTGTATATAATTGATCCCAAACAATTTATAATAAATGAAATATTCAATTTGAATCAAATTTTAAGCGATTCAGCTACTTATGGATTACAATATAACATAGTATTGAGATATTTGTAAAAGGAATTGTTCTTTTTCTTTTTTTTTTTTATAAATAAGTCCTTTTTGATTTGTTCATGATTTATTAAATAACTAATTCTGTTATTTATTATATAAGTAATATTACTACTTATGTGTATATGATTAATTAACGAAAGAAAGAAAATAATTTCTGCGAAACACTCTTAAGCTTCTGACTTATGCATCAGAGTAACTTCATTTTTTTATATTTGCTTCTTTACAGATGTTATCATATATGTTTTATTATAATCGAGAAGAAATATAATAGAAAGAGAGAGAGGACTTTAAGTAATATTAAATAACTACATACTATCACATTTTATCAGTAGCTCTTTTAACTTTAAATTTATAATTAATGTACATTTGTGTTAAAATAATAGAAAAACATTTATTATTATGATAATGATGATTTTTTTTGTATATTCAAATCAAGAATTATTGTGCTTCTTTTTACTCCATAACAATTACAATTTTCTTTTTTTTTCTTCTTTCCTTTTTGCTTTTTACAGAAGTTTGTTTTGTAAAATTTCATAAGCCATTTTATTTCTAAAATACGGCATATCCTCTTGAGTAAATGTTATTTTCCTATTTGCACATATATATTCTGCAAACATACAAGAAAATACACCACAATCACTTCCATTCATTTGTTGTGGAATGTTCTTAGCGGATATTAATTTCCAATCACTTGTATCAAATGATCTCTTCTTTTTATCCATACTTTCTTCTTCGAGATACTGTCTTAATGCTGACAAACACTTAGGATTACTGCTACCCATACTATCGTAATAACATATAGACTTATCTCTAAAATCGATTATTGACATACACCAGTGGATGCCTAAATGTATAGGAACAACTATAATGTCTTGGACAAATATGTCGATTTTTCTTGTCCATCGTTTTAGAGATGAATGTCCACCAGAAATTAATTTTGGATAAAAGAATGTGTTCATTGCATGAATTTTGGGGAATTTTTCGCTCGTACCTCTATTTATTAATAAATTCATGTAAAAATTAATGACTTCGTCATTCAACCAATTTAAATCTGCCAAAGTATTAATATCTTTTCTTGTTATCCTCAACCCATGAGCTTCTATCAAAATTTCGTCAGGGGGTTTAGGTACAAAAGCATTTTTAACTTCCTTCAACATTTCTTCCGTAAGAGTAGGTAATGGTGGTTCTTCTGGCTCTTCTGTTTCATCTAATACCACTTCGCATAATCTCATAGAACGTGTTAATCTTTCTTCCAAAGCAGTTTCTAGCACTAATTGATTTTGTTTTGATAATACGCACATCATCTTTTTAAGCTCTTTAGCTTCTTTATTACGTTGTTCAATACGTTCATTATAACGCTGTGCTACTTGTGGAACAAAATCTTCCCTCGTTACAAATTTAGCTGCCAGTTTATCACGTAATGTATTGGTTGTTATAGTTTCAATACAACTACCTTGTATAGGCTTTACAACTGGATGTTTAATAACTTTGATAATTTCTATCTCCTTGGGCATTGATTGAAGAGAATCTTCTGCGTTATTTTTGTTAATTATAGGAACTATTCTCTCGTTTTCTTTCTTTGCTGTATTTGTTGATGACCATCTTGAACAGCAAGCGGGTGATGAAGTATTGGACTTAACTTGCGGTTTATATGAGCTTGATTTAATAATCTTGTCTATTTCAACAATTTTATCACATTTTTGTTTAGGTTGACGTTCGTCCGACATGTTTTGCATTACATTCAATTTCCTATGTGGAAGAAAATTTTGCAGCAATTCCCCATACTGATTTTTTTGCTTTAATTGATTAGAATTCACAAGTGTAGGACATTTGTCCATGTTCATTTTACCTACTTTGTTTTCTTTATTTCCAAAATATAGCATGTTTAATTTATTGCAATTAGTTGTAGAAAAAGGAGATTTAGAAATGGAAGTAGAAGGTAAATTCTCATAAGATGAGTAACATTTCTTACTATGAGTACCATTTAGTCTATTGGATGAATTTTTTGAATATTTTTTTTCCGTCAAAAAATTGACATCATCATTATCACTATCATCGATTTCAAAATATTCTTCTTCAGTATGAACTGTCTTATGACTACAGCATTGCTTCTTAGGTAACACATATTCCTTTTCGTAGCTGAAAGAATCATTGGCTCTACGTTTCCTTGATCCCTCATCTGCCCATCCGAATAGTTTTTTTAAAAACTCAAACATTATCATGATTATAGAAGGAAAGCCAATGTGACATATAGAAAATTTGGGTAGGTTCATTCACTATGTCCATTAAGTATGTTATTGAATTTCTGTTTTGAAATCTTGTAGTTATATCTAAAGAGAAAATTAACACAAATATTTATACATTAATAAAATAGCTTTTTATCCGTCAGACAAAAGTAAATGTAAAAGAATCTTCATACGAATACTGTAAGCTTTATAATAATTATAAGAAAGAAAATATAAATAAAGTTATCAATTTAATACTTACATCGTATTTATATTATACCTGTACGGCGCATATATAGTTTAAGACATTGTTTATGTTAAATTTGGATATCTCCATAACTAAGTATACTCTTAATGAGGCTTGCAATGAAAACCTATAAGATCGTATTTAACAATAACCTCTTATTTTGAAAAATACGAGGAAGATGAAAAAAGTACACTATTCGTATCTAAACATTTAATTTCACACGTACAATATTTTGAACATAAACTGTAACTCCACACTGAAAGTCATCGATTATTTCAAGCGATTCAAAAGATTGACAATTCTTAAGGTATCGATATAAGATGGTACTTTTGCGCGCCACCTCGATAAATGAAATAATTCATACTAATCTTTTTCCTCTATGTAAAAATTATGAAAAGATGAACAACAACAAAATTAAGTTCTTTTTTTCAAGGAAAACATTAAAATAGTCCAATTTAGTTCTAGTTTATTCCACCAAATAATAGTTCGGCATACTATTTTTCCTACCATTGTTATCCCATCTTATATTACTCCAATGTATATGCTATAATAATTAACAATATTAACCAATGGTGGCAGCACTGTTCGCCACCGTTGATTCGAATATTGAATGGTTATACGCATTATATATAATACTACTTTGTTGTTTGAGTCATACTGTTCTGACAGTTTATCAAATATAGTTTTATCTCTATATGCATACATGTAGTATATTTAAAGTTATTGACATAAGTAACGCCTTTGTTTAATAATTATAATCCAAATGAAATTTAACGAAAAAGAACTCGCTGAATTAAGTAATGGCGCTGCCGATTTAGAAGGCCGTCTAAATCATAAGCGGGCACACAAGTCAGGTTAATTTAATTTAATTTAAATTTATTATATACTTCAATTAGTATTAAATTTTTTAAGAAATTAATTAGACATTTTTTTATATTTATTTGCTTGAATATTATCGTGTTAAGCTTTATTTTATAATAAAATTATGTTAAAAGTGTGTGTGTGTGTGCTGTGTGCATAGAAATTAAATTAAATATTACCTTGACAATAAAAATGTATTATTTTTATAACGTCCTTAATGCTCTTACGTAATCATTCGATACACTAATAAATCATTATTATCATTCTCTTTCAGGATCCAAAGAAAGATGGTTCAAATTAAAGTACAATTTATTATTTTATTTTAATATTAATGAAATAGGCCAAATTGATAATCGTCAAGCAGCTGGAGTTATTGTTTTGGAAAATTATAGTATTAATTATGATATGTTCGAAGGAGCATTTTCATTCAGTATATCTTTTCGTGATGAGCATGAGAAGAGACATATTTTAAGTGGTCGCTCTGAAGATCAGGTCGAACAATGGGTTTCTGCGCTTAAACGAGCCAGTTATGAATATTGGAGATCACAATTAATTTTACTTCAAGAAACACTGTGTAAAAAGACGGGGAAAGATCCTTTATTAATGCACCTTAGAAATCAAGGTATCATTAGGGATGAAGCTTGGGAACCTGCATCCAGTTTTAGATCGCATGTACAATCTTTTACAACGTCAGTTGTGTATACGCTAGCTAGACTAAATCCAGTACAAAAAGAAGTAAATTTAATTGAATTTTAATTGCAAATTAAAGATTATCTTTAAGGATGAACTTGAATAAGTAAAATGACTGATAGAATTATTCTATACTCAGTCTCAGATAGTTAATTATATTTTTAAAAGTCATATATAGAATATATTAATTTATTTATTACTGTCTATATAAATCATTGGTAAGTTTATAAAATTGAACTGATTTTCTTAGTTAGTTGAAATTAAGTAGAAGAAATATTTAATTACAAATATTTTTTCTTCTTTGTAAGATTTGTACAACGAAATGCAAAGAAAGGATTAAAAAAAACTAAATAAGATTTATAACTGCCTAACGTTTTGCTTTAAATATTATAAATTTTTAATTATAATCATTGGAAAAAGAGATCTAAAAAGCATAAAATATTTTTGGGGATTATATTAAATATTATTATACATTTATATGATATAATCTTTGATCACTTTCATACGTATGCATATATATAATATCTGGATAATTTATAAAAATTAACAAAAAATACAATCATAAAAAAGATCGATTCTATATGTAAATAAAAGCAATTATTCTTCCATGTCTATTTATACATTACTATAGAAAATAGTATAATTTAGATGAAACAATGTGAACATAATTTTGTAAATAAATGTTAAAAAGAAAAAAAGGATTACGAGTACTCAATCAACCGTGCAAAAAAACCTACTCTTTAACACAATAAAACATTTTAAGTACTAAATCTCTAATATAGTATAAATAAATTAATTTTTTGTGGTTTAAATTTAAAAAAAAATAAAAACTTTAAAGATATTGCTTCATTTTTAAAAATTGATAAACTTTTTGGGAAGTTTAAGTTTAAAAATGTTTTGAAAGAATTAGAATTGTCGTCTTAAAGTGTATTGCGTTTTTTTTTGTCTGGCGTGTACGCGCGCGTTTGTGTATGTGTGTGTTAGGGTACGAGTGAGTGAATACTTACACACATATATATCGTATATAAAATGTAGGAAGCCAAATGCACCACGAAAATTTCGCCCCCGCTCAATACGACGACGCTTGCGCCCTTATCTCGTAGAGTTCAGTGATCGTTGTGATGCTACGGAAACGGAGGGCTGCTGTTTCAGGGTAAGATACCATTTTTATTATCATTCCGTGTATTTACTATTCTTTTTTTTTCTTATACATTTGAACTATTAACAAAAACGAATGTTCAATCTTAATTAATTCGTTCGTTATTATATTAGAATGTCAATAGTTCTCAGAAGTATCTAATTAAAAGCTCGAACTTTTGTTCGAAGATACGAAAGTGTTAAGAACAAATCACGTAAATAAAACATTCTTTGATTTAATGCGTATCTATTTGTTATATTATGTACGAATTTACTAAAGTTTGACATAAACAATTAGCAAAAATAATAGAATATTTACGCGTCATATTTAAATTTATTATACTTTTAGTTTATGTATATTTATGTGTAGGTAAATATAGTTTGACGATATGATAATTTGTGTTAATTATGATGTATGCTAATGATACGCATGATGAGAAATTAGAATCTTTTTGGTTTGTTTTTTAATAATAATAGATGAGAAATTCTGAAATAGGAAAGATCATCATGAAGAATTCTAGTTGTTCGTCTTGCCCTCTTGGCCCACCCCCAGACATACTTCATATACCGCCACCACCGTTTCCAGAATTTCTTCAACAAAGTTCAGACTTTTATCCAAATTTAGGCGCTCTGCCTTTCCCGCCAAACCTTAATGATAGTCCTTGCAAACACTTATGCGATCGACGTTTCGAAGGGGTGCAATATATCGAAATGCCACAGCAAGGTAAATAACATAATGATTGGATATTAATTTTTTTTTTTCTTACAAATTTTTACCAAATTTTCTTTTTATGCTAATGGTAAGCGTAAATATTCGATTTATTGGTTTTATTAATTTTGTATTTTTTAGGCACCGTTTTTGACGATACGTGGTTGTTAGTGCTGATATCATCTTGCGTCGGTGTAATTATAATTGGCGCAATATTGGCAACGTTTTTTTGGAAATGTAAATTGTAAGTATTAATTAATTAAATATTAGCATATCCGACGCAAATCCTTAATCATCTCGAATGGTATGAGAGATTGTAATTATTTAAAAAATTAAGATCGATCGCGTGAAAAAAAATGATCAACGGTCATAACGTTTTTATATTTTTGTCTGGCAGAAATAGAAGCGGTAAAAATGGCGTAATATCAATGCCAAATGCAACAACCGGTATGCAAACGAAAAATGGAAGAATTCAAAACGAAGCTGTTTTGTATCCTTGCGCTGCTGATACCATGCAAGATAGTCGTGTAATGTGGGCAACCCTAACACCACGGGGTACCACTAGACATTATTTAGAAGAACATACTTACGAAACTATCGGCGGTGGACAATTTCACAAGCGCGCTTGTTCGACAACACCAACCGAACATGTAAAACTGAAGGCAATTTAACAATTTTACGTTTGTATACGATGCTGCTTTCGAATACAATAGAGAACAACGAAAAAAACAAATAGCATAGCATCTTGCGAGGATCTATGGTGGAATAAAAATCGCAGTTTAATAATTACATATAGATCATTTTTTTTATACGCGTAATATTGATAAACAGAAACAAAAAATGAAAAACAGATAATTTCGAAATAATTTTTACATAAATTATATGATGATCCACTGTGATATTTATTCTTGGATTATTTTCTGGATCAAACCTGTCATATATAAATCTACAAATACAGTGGCGGTCAAATAATATGACGCTACGAAATTATTTGCTACTCATCAAACAAAAAAGAAATGCATGAAAAGCAGATTACCATTAGATTTAGTATATCTGCTAATTATTTTGTCACTTCTTCTATTTTTTAGTTTATTAAAATAAAATTATTGTATAGTAATAGTTCCTTTTTTTTTTTATAAACATACCTCGAAGTACCTGTCCTATATTTTAATAATTTGAATTATAATCTTTGACCGCCATTGTCTATATTAGATCAAATTAAAAGCATGATTTGTAGACATGGTAGGTAATTAATTAAAATTAATTAAAGAAAGTAGAGAATAACAAGGTAAACGTTCTAATTGAAAAAAGCTATATTAATACAAGTTGATCGATCTATAAATAAATGTAATTAATAAAGGTCAAAATCTATATTTTAGACGTATGCCGATCCTCCGGTTACAACTCCGGTATATGTCCGTCCAAAGGACGATAAAGCTTTTGATAATACTGCTTTTGTGGATTATGAAGAGCCCTTATCAGTTAAAACGGAATATTATCAATTGAATGATGTTTTGGAGCCTAATGATTCAGGTAATTAAATATATGTTAAAAATAATTACCGACCTGGTTAATACAATACAAATTTTGTTTATATTTAATATTAATTATAAAAATAATATAATATACTTTTTTCTATATTTTATATAATAATAATAATAATAATATTATATTTATATGGTATGAAAATAATATTATATATACAAGGTGCTTGAGGTTTTTTCAGGCAAACGGTGTTAGCGGAAAACCTTTGTCACCGGAAAACCTTTGTCACCCTGTATAATAAATATTTATTATATAAAAAAAATATATAATAGAAATTAGTTGCATGTATTATTATTATTATATTATTAATAGAAATAATTGATTTAAATGTAGGTATTCTTACGATACAAAGGGGTACATTGCGTCCTCATGTTAGTTCTCCAACAAGAATAGAACATCCAAATTTACCGCCATTGAATCTTCTTCCTCACAAGCGTAGTTCGAAAAAAGGTTCTATCGGACAACACAATTCAGATACATTATTAAGAAGCAGCATCACATCTTCCACTTATATACCTACAATATAATATATTAATTACACTCCTTTATTCTCCCTTCTCGAAAATTCAATATAATCATCTAAACGCACCTTTTATATCCACAGTTATCAAGTCCAATCTAGTTACTCTAAATACACCATATCTGTGTAAGTGTAATAAACAAAAAAATATCCCTAATAATTATATCTTATTAATTGTTTATTATTATTATTATTATTATTATTATTATTATTATTATTATTATTATTAATTTTATTATTATTATTATTATATTGTGAACGTCATGTTAATATTATGTTATTGTTTTTATTGTGTGTTGTTTTGTATGTACCTATCAGCTTATAATAATAATATTATTATTATTATGATGGACGGATAACAGACAATGATTCCGATTCACGTTTACAGGCGTTATAGGGGGTGTATACCACAAAATGGATTATAATTTCTTTTTTTTCTTTTATTTTTTCCATTTTTGTTAAAATGCATCTCGATTATTCACGTCCAGAATTTTTACAAGTACGATTAGAACTTTAAACAAAATCTTAATTAAATTAAATCTTATTGATTAGACAAATTGGAAGAACATCTTTTCTACGATATATTTTAGAACAAATAAAATATTTTTTTTATTCTTTCAAAGCGAGCACTTTGTTGTATTTGTGTATTGTTTCACGTATTTAGATTTGTACTTATACATTAGACTTATTTTCTTTCGTTCATAGATTTTAATGGTTTTTATTTTCTTTACATTTTTTATTTTATTTTCATTTTAAGAGGAAACGTCCAAGCACATACTGCATTAACGTGTCACACTACACAATATCGGGTTAAAGTGCAATCTTTTATTTTATTTGAAAGATTATCGTATTCGGAAAATGAAACACCGTTTAAGAAAAAAGAAAGAAAAGAAAGAAACGTATCGTTGGATACATATGGCTCACGTAACGTTAATTTTGACAAAATTATTAGGGCTATTTGTAAATGACATTTTTAATTTATAAATGCAATATGCATGAATAATTAGATTTATTTATTAAAGGTAAGTGAGTAAAGTATATTATACATTGATCTATTAATCCGCGTGTTTTATGATCAAATATTAAAAAACGAAAAAATTCTTAAAAAAAATATATATTATTAAAATATACAAATTTGACGATAGTATTACGTTATTTGAGCCATAACGATCCAAACAAAAATTCAATAAATACCAAAATAAGTGTATACAAGCCTTCAAAGTACACACCCAAATAAATGAACATATGCGTACGTACAATTTACTACGATCCTTCCGTTCGATGAATTTCATTTGAAATTTTATTGTTAGATTTATGAATTTTTGAAACTTTAGTTGTTTATCGATCAGCCTCTTTCAATCGCTAATTCTATTATTATACTTGTACAATATCGATTTTTAATGACTCTTAAGACACTAGAAAATTATAATTTTACTTGTAAATAATTCAAAATATTATTCCTGTATCGAAGTGCAATAATAAAATATGTTTAATTAGTGCCAAAGTAATTGCGACGAAAAGAATTTAAAAAGAAGAAGAAGAAGAAAGGGGAAAAAATAGAAACGAAAAGATAAGAAAAAGAAAGATAGAAAGATTGAAAGAAAAAATAAATGAACAATACGAGCGACCCACTTTTTAATGCCTGATTATGGATAGCAGGTGCGATTACTCTCTCTTTCTCTCTCTCTCTCTCTCTCTCTCTCTCTCTCTCTCTCTTTTTCTCTCTCAGTCCTTCTCTCTCTCGTTGAGTAAACTCCGTTTAAAAAAAGCAATGTGACGTCAAAGTCACATTGATATTCGAAAATAATAATGCGACAGGCAAATGCAACGAGAAAGAGATTAAACGAAGAAAGATAAACNTTATTATTATTATTATTATTATTTATATTATTTATATTATTTATATTATATTTCTTATATCACACATCTATTTATTATAGATACATGTAGAAAAACTATTCGATGTGAGAACTATTAAAAAATATGTTTAAATTAACCAATCAGATTGTCTTTTCTCTATTACGTTTTAAGAGCATATTTAAATAATTTTTATTATTATATTTATTTTTTTATATCATATTGTGTGTATTAACACAATTATCATTGAATTTATAATAATATTATTAAAGGTAATGTAAAAATTGAAAATAAATAAAATGTTTTATTTTGTAGTCATAATTTAATGAGATTCGTTTGTAGGTTAGGTGCAATTGTCAATGCACTTTCATTACATTTTGCGCAAGCGTGTAAATGACTCTTGTTATAGAATATATTTACGTAAATGATCATATTTAGGATAGTTCAGCATTGCAATTTATTTGTTAAACGTTAGAATCAACGTAGTTTATTATAAATGTTGTTTTATTGAGCAATCCTTTTTTGAATAAAAAGATCTAATAAATGTACTTTTTTGTTTACGAAAAGGTATTTATTATTTTCATTGAAGTTAAAGGAAGCATTACGTCTACGTTAATTATTGGTTGTAAATTATTGTCAAAAATAAGCATTATTTGTTTTATAGAATCATGGAAATCAATCCGTTAAGTGTAATACTTGTCAAAAGTGATAGCAAGGGTGACAGACTTTTATTTCGATATCCACATATGATGAGTCACGTACGTGATTCTAAACAATGCACAAAACGTAAAAATCCATATTCATTGACAACTAGTGAAGATTTATTACAGGTGAATTTAACAACTATTACGTTTTATTATATGATGATTTGTCGTTGTAATTAATTTCTTATTAGATCTTCATTAGCAGTCTCTGCCGTTTCCAACTTCTAACATTAACAATGGAAATCTTACCGGATTAAAGGATGAAGTACTTTCAACGTTATTTGCAGTAAAACCGGAATTATGCGAACAGAAATTTGAATTGAAAGTAAACGATGTTCGCTTTGTTGGACATCCTACTCTTATACCACAACGTGGTTTTAAAGAAGTAAATTCTTCTATGCTCTTTAATGTTGTCTTTGCCTTACAAGCGCAAGCAAGTCATTCTGTAGTAAAATGTTATTACGATTTAAGCAGAAGGTTTGTTGTGTACCATTATTTAATAGTTATAATATTTGAGATTAATTGTATACTTTTGTTTAAGATTGGGTATCGCTTTGAGACATGAAGAAAAAAGATGTGGCTTTTTAACGGATGAAATTAAGATTATGGTATCAACTCATGATGAAATTACTGCTAGGTAAAAAATATATTTAATATATCATTTGTGTTACGTAATAGTAAATATAAATTGTTAATGTAAATATACATATATTTTTAGATCTGAGGGTGAAAGCGATAGTGATGAATCTCCTTACGAATTAATATTGCAGAAAAGTTTACTAGCTCGTAATTTAAAAACAGTCTTCAGTAGTCTTAGTACTTGCGGTATAATTAATATTATGATCAATAAATGGATACAAGTGCGCTTTTGTCTTCCGCAGAAGGTACACCAATCGTATAAGAAAGGTTTCTTTATTAATCCTGAGATTATTGATAGGTTAGTACAGTATAATTTGACATAAATATATTTGCATAGTTTCTAAGAAAATAATAATAATAATAATATTATTATTAATAATTATTTACAGATGTTTAAACAGTTTAAGACCATACCATGGACTACTTTTGTTAATTGAACCTTCAGATTTATTAGATTCATTGCCAATAGATTCTTCTCCAGCATTAAGACGTCTTATTCAAATGTATAATCCATTAAAGAGTATACAAACATTAGCTGCTGATTCAGATCTAACACTGACACAAGTATTTCAACTAACCGGACATTTAGTTTATTGGGCTAAAGCTAGAATAATTTATCCGCTTTGCGAAAGTAACGTTTATGTTGTATCACCGGATGCTGTTTTATCTAATCAATTATTGGAAGCATTTTCGGAACAATTTCCAGGACTTTGTCTACTACAAGTATGCACAGAATGATATATTTATAATTTTAAAAAGTTTCATAATATTTTATATTGCATACTTTTTTTTAGGTCATTAGTGATTTTTCCTTACCAACGTCAATCAGTCAAAAATTAAATCCTTTAAGTCAACCTCAGCAACAAACTCAATTAGTAAAAGTCATCATATGGTTACTCAAAAACCATTTGCTTTTGCAACTACATACATACGTTCAATATATGCCAACGGTACATGGTCTTGTATTACCGGTTGGTATAATAACTTATTTTTACATTGCATGCAAACATAAATATAGATTATTTGTTTTTTTTTAGGACTCGAAGGAACAAACAACTTTTGATGTAAATAATATTGACGAAGCTGAAAGTTCTTGGGATTTTGATGAAACTAGTAAAGGAATAATTACCGATATAAAAGAAGAATTGTCGCATACTTTACATAAAAAAGATATATTTTTTAATTATCCGTCGGAAAGTTATGACATTCCATCGGATGACAGAAAGTTACTTGATAAATTGTGTCGCCTTGGTTATTTTAACGGTGGACATCATCTGGAAGAAATAATGTATTTAGAAAACATTCGAAGATCTCAATTGTTGCAAATATTAGATAAATTTCGTGATATATTAATAACGCGCGAATGTGAAGATCCTGCGATAGATATGTTTCATACTTAATTAGGATCTTAATGATATTGTTTTGTATGATAATATAGTAATAATGAAAATAAACAGTATTAAATTATTCTACTATTGTTCTTGTATATCTGTAAAAATGATATTTTTTATAATAATGAAATTTTTCATTTGAAAATAAATATGTATACACGTCAAATAAGTACAATGCAAATGGAAATCTAATGAACTTATTATTGAGAGGCTTTATTTTTATGTATATTTTATACGTATATATATATATATATTTTTAACTCTTGCATAAAAAGTTCTCGTGATATATTTTCTTCTAAAGTACTTATTTACAAAATTGTTAATTTTTATACAGACAAAATGATAATATGACAATAGTGAGATTTATTTTATATATTTATTTATACAATAACCATTATAATAAATTATATATATAATATATATATATTTATATATCATAGATGTGGTAGTGATAATATATTGCTAAAGTTTGACACAATTTTGGCAGATAGGTTGGCTAGAACAGGATATTGCCTTTATGAAATTCGCACATTCAAAAATGCGACTAATGCGCATTCATAATTTTACTAATTTTTTTTGATTGGAATCACCACCGAGCCTCTATTTAATTTTGGACTTTGCTTTCTTGCAGTCATACTTAAACGTCATACATATTAACAAATGACATAAGATGTTATCTTAATTAACTACAAGTATTCATTACTATATAATAATTATAATTAAAAACGAGCCCTAACTGCAAAAATCATTTATTTTTATTGCACGACTTGTTTGAATTTATAGAGCTATCATAATCATATCAAAGTATAATCTTTATAATGATTTTGATTTAAAGCTTCTTTATGTATAAGTATTATTTTTTAAAGTAAATATACACATATATATATATGTATAGTTATCATTATAATCTATACATATAACACGTCTCCGCAATAATTATTTAAGCATCTTTTGTTATTTTTCAATATGTATGACTTATTTTAGAGTCTAGCATTACATTACTTCTTTATAATCTTAATTAGAAGAACATTTGTCTCTGAAACATTTAATTATCTAATATAATAATCGTAAAGCATATATATATATATATATATATGTATGTATATACATATATATATATTTATTTACGTAATATATATATATGTATATGTATTACGTAAAATTTTTATATCAGGAGCATTAGTTCTATACATGTACATTGATTTCATTGGCTGGTTGAAATATCTAAACAAATTTTAGATTAGTAGATGCACTCTTTTAATGTTCTTATATTAAATTTTATCATGACATCTGCTTGGTGTTAGTAATTTTATATATATATATGTATATACTATTACACTTAAGAGATTACTAACTTACTATTACTAAAAAGTGTCTCTTAATCATGATATGGGCCACATATGAGAACGTAGGCAGATATTATGAAATATTGATAATGCTAAAAACTGTTTATATATGCATTTTACAATTGACATAAAAGGAGAAACTTGATTTTATAAATTATAAAGGATCTTTAAATCTTTTTCTGCTTTTAGTAATTTGAGTTATCGAACTACTATCGGGGTCAGATATAAGAAATTTGATTCTTAAATCTACATAATACCAAAGAGAGATAGGGATAGAGAGAAAGAGAGATAGGGAGAGAGAGAGAGAGAGAGAGAGAGAGAGAGAGAGAGAGAGAGAGAGAGAGAGAGAGAGAGAGAGAGAGAGAAAGAGAGAGAGAGAAAATATAGAAAAAAAGGAAAAAAAGAAAAAAAAAATAATAAAATAAAATAAAATAAAAAAGAAAGAAAATCAACTTCGATCATTACAATAATTACTAAAGCAGATGTACGGTCGACAGTTGAAAAAATATGTTTTATCACGACACTTATGATACTTGTTTAATCGCATTTAAATAATTTTGCGAATTAAACAAATGTTCATTGGAATGCGTGCAAGTTTATACACTTTTTACATGAATAATTTGTACAATTTTTTTTTTTCATACATTTATCTAATTTCTGCATCATTTACATATGACTCCGACAATAGAACCACCCTCATCCTTCAGAATAAGCAATTTCCAATTAAATTCTCGTGTAATAAATAATTAATTGATTAATTAATAAAAATCAAAATATCTTTTACAACGTCTACGTAGATATTTAGATTAATGAATAACAATAATAGTATGTTGTTTAATGTACATGCAAATCACGCTGCAGAAAAAAAAACAAAAAAATATTAGGCTCGATCAGAAAAATAAGAATTATGTAGAACTACATTATAGATATTGTTAAGCACCTTAACCTGAGAGAAAAAAATATTATATATATGATAATAACTAGAAATCGCTCTTGTCTTCTCATGGTTGAAATATATATGCATAAACCGCTACAATTCGTATTTTTTGTTCACGTTTTTTTTCCTTCTTTTATGAACAAATAAATACATTAAAGAAAAAATTGTATCATCATCTATCGTTTGCTTTTTCTGAATTTTACTTTTACTTTAAGACCATTAATGACTTCTACTTAAGCCAATAATATAGACATCCATACCATATCAATATCCATTGATATTACGATTTAAATATCTGCTGTTAAAAATGTGTTGTTTTGGAAAATATATATATATTTTTGCTTTAAAAACAAAAGTTATTTTTTTTTTCTTTTTTGTAATTATTTTCTATCTTCTTCATCTTTTTTATTATTGACACTTGTAAATAGCAATATGAAAGAATAATTCTTTTTATCTATAAAATAGATATAGAATAAATGTACAATGGACATAAGTAGTATGCGATATATCAATATTATAAATGTGTGCAAAAAGAGAGACAAAGAAAATATCACCAATATTGTAAATGTCTTTTTTAACTCTACGTTATATTATATTACGATTTCTTTGATGAAACTCTGTGTATTTTTTCCTTTTTACTTAGCTTTTAAAAAATTTAGAAGTACAGGGATGAAATGTATTTAAAATTTAATCCTTGTTATACTTACTCTACAACAATTATCATGTGTGTGGTTATGTATGTCCCTAGACATTTCTCCCTTTATGTCTTAGAGCAAATCTAAACGTTTTATGTATGTCTAATATATTCGAATGATAATGCACAAAAATTTGTTAACAAATAAACAGTACAAAAAAATAAACATAATCACAGCTGAGTTGGCAGGCAGGTGAGCAGACGCAGGCATACATTTGAACAGGCTCATTAGATGTAAATGACATTACATCTGTTTTTACATGATTTTCTTACATGATCACTGCTTTTTCAAGTCTGCTAATCTCATTTCATTGACAAATTAAGCCTTAAACGTAGTCATTAGTTCCAGGACTCGTTAATGGTTCCTGAGCCTATTCCAACAACAAAGATTATTATTCAAACATTTAAATGTACTATACCTTTTTCCGCGTATATATATATATATATATATATATATATATCTTTTACATGTATGATTGAATTAGACATCATATAATCTTAATAATAATAAATGAATAATTAAATAAATATATATATATCTACCTCCTCTCCAACTGTAGCAGCAGGAAGGGGAAATCTGTTCTTTTCGAGACTAAACTGATCTTCGGTAGTTTTTCTATATACAGGGTTGTCGAAGTTCATACTTGTAACATTACGATGAAGATAATGCCTATAGCACAATACTGCCACTAATGCAAGTACTAATAGGCCTAATGATACCACGCCTATGACAACACCAGCAACTAGACCAGGGTCTGTTGATTCACTTGTAGAATTATTTTTTCCACTATCCATCGAGGTTATTGGATCTAGGAGTAATATATTCGCAAAATTAAAATATGAAGTACATTAACAAAAAATTGTTTTTATTACAAACAAAAATAAAAAGATATAATTTATATCATTAATAATACGAGAATGTGATATATACTTAACAATGATAATACAATTTAAAAAGCTATTGATGAGCATGCAAGATATACTTACGAACAGTTGTTGAAATGTTCAGCGGTTCAAGCCTTTTAAATAGTTTAGCATTTTCTTGTGTTGTTGGTGCTACAGTAGTAGTTACTGTAATATTCCATATTCATGCAACAGTAATGCAAATGAATATAATAAAACAGATATAAATGAAATAAATAAAAAAACTTGTTTTCAGAAACTTAATAAAATTTCAAATTCATTTCGGTCTCTTATAGTTTTTTTTTTTAAATACTATAGTAAATATATCATTCATAAAATAATATACATAATAATAAATAGCAATAAAACGATTTCTAATGAACTTGCATTATTTGCATTATAGATTTTTACTATCTTCATAATCATGCAATTTTTTTTTTCATTTATCAAAGTAATTGATTCATGCTACTTCATGTAAAACATTCAATACAGATTAACGACTATGGATTAAATGTTTATATCACTTACCATTTTCTACACACATCAATCCATCAGGTAACAGCCTCAGTCCATCCGGACATGCACAACTTAGAAGCGGTGATCTAGAATTAATTTTAGGTGCAGGCAAACACAAATGACTGCAATGACCATTGACAGACTGACATTGATTCATTCCGTCAGGTTGTCTATATGGATGATACACATGTACCACCATTGGTTGCTGAGGCGATTTTACTGATGTAACAGACTCTACATCTTTACCAGTAAATTTGTTAACTTTAAATATCGTTTCTTTATCCCAATCTGTCCAATAAACATAATCTTCAAATGTTGTAATACTGAACGGATGTCTTAACATCGCAGGAGAAAATAAAACTGTTCTTCTTCCTGAACCGTCATAATTACAAGATGCTATAAAGTTAAGTTTAGCATCTACCCAATATACTTTTTTACCAATTAGATCTAGAGTCAATCCATTTGGCCATTTTATATCATGTCCAACAATAATCTGGTAAAATTTCATTAATATATCATGTCATTAATATATCAATCATCAAAACAGAGTACTATTTAAATAGAAATACTTACTGAACGGTGAGAACCATCCATACCAGCTCTTTCTATACGAGCTTCGTCACTCCAATCAGTCCAAAACATCCAACCGTCTAAGGGATTTAAGGCGATAGCTCGCGGTTCTTGTATGTGATCTTTGATGAGAGTTTTTCTCATATTTCCTTCGAAATTAGCTAATTCTATAGTATCTTTTCCAGAATCAGTCCAATATATATGACTATATATCCAATCTACTGCTAATCCATCTGACGTGGTTAAATCATCTTCTATTACAACTGTACGGTCATTTCCTTCATCTATCGGTGCTCTAAAAATCATTTTGAAATTTAATAGATATTCTGTGATGATATGATAAAAAGAGAAAAAAGAAATATTCATAAACTTACTTATAAATTTTTCTTTCTGTAATATCGCTCCAAAATATCATTCCCGTTCGAAAAACAAAGTCCAAAGCTGTTGCCATTTTTGTATTATTGACAATCGCCGTCATTTCTTGACGATCCAAAGCTACTTTTCTAATATCATGTCTTCTAGTAAAAAGAAGACTCGCATGTCCTTCTGCTGCCTTACAACGAGTTAAATTTTTAGGATCTTTCAAGTAACCAAGAGCACAATTACATTTAAATGTTCCTTTTTCGTTTTGACAAAATTGTGAACAACTTCCTGGCTCTAAGCATTCATCGATATCTATAATATAAACATTTTTATTTATTATTATCTTTCTATAAATACGTATTTATTCATTTAATTATTTTTCTTACCATCGCAGGTTCGATTGTCGATCAATTTGTATCCTGGTTTACAATCGCAACGATAGCCAATGGGAAGATCAATACATATTTGTGAACATCCACCATTATCTTTGTCACATTCATCTACACCGCAAAGTTCAACACGTTCATCTTCCCAATTGATACAATCCATTTTCTTATCACACACACTTTTAAGAGGAATACACGAAGCTTCACTGCATTCAAATTGTGTCATTGGATCGCATACAGGAGCTTTTATTGAACAATTCTTTTCATCACTTCCATCTGAACATTCAGCTTTGCCATTGCAGTACAAGTGACCTAAACATATCAAATTGAGTATTATTATTATAAATAAAACATTCAATTTTTTTATTTGTATTTTATACATTACCTGGTATACAGGTACGTCGATCTTCGCATTGGAATTGATCAGCTCTACAAGTGATGTTATGACATCTTAGTGGTGATTCGTCTGCACCGTTTGAACAGTCTTTATCCCCATCGCATACCCATGTTTGATGTATGCAAGTAACACCATCATCACAATCAAATTCTCTCTTATCGCAATGGCTTGCCCTCTGTCCCTGATTTTTTCCCTTGAAAAAATAAATAATTTATTATATTATGTATAAAATATATACCATTATATTTCATTAAAAGAGATTTCAAGTTGTACCTTGCAATCCATCTCATCAGAATGATTAGGACAATCATAATCACCATCGCATCTCCACTTTGCTGTAATACAGTAGTTGTCTGAACAAGCAAAATCTGTTGCAGGATTGCAGGTAGTTGGACTACAGTATTTTTCATCACTGCCATCTCCGCAATCATCATCATGATCACAGACCCAATGGAGTTGAATGCAATGCTTATTTGCACAGGTAAACTCATCCGATCGACAAGTATCATCTGAGATAATAAATTTAGTAAGTATATATACAAACATAAATGAAAGATTAAAAAATATTTTATTAAATTATAAGTACAATATTTTAAATTATTTAATTCATTGACAAATACGTGACAGTAAAAACATAATTGTTCAATATATATTATCAATAACTTAAACTTATTTGATATAACTGACATAACAAACTGAACTTTATCTAAACAAATATTAAATAACAAATTAAAAGAGAAGAAGGAAAGAAATCAGATTGTACAAATATAAATAAAAAGAATGATAAGCAAAAAATGCATATACATATATGTATATCTGAACGATGCGTATAATTTGAAATGAAACGAGAGATCGAATGATGCTGTAAGCAATATAACTTATGCATAACATGTATCAAATATGTGGGTAAGAATTTCTACATAGAGAATTAATATTCGATAATTCTATATACAATATAATCAATCGAATATTCAATATTAATTTAATTATATGATGCAAATCTCTAGCATACGTTATGTATCATTAAATTAAATATAGCATCAAATATCATTACAAAAATATAATAATAAAAAATTCCATGAAAAATAAACTTTCTCAGTTAAAAAAAAAATAAAATAAAATAAAAACATGAATCTTAAATAAATATCTTCACAGTTGAAAAACAAAATAATTTGTTTCTTTCACAGACTATTAGGATAGAAGAAGATATTCGGGAAAACGCGTAGTAAAAATATTAAGGCTGCATGCGGTCGATTATTCGAAAGAATTACCAACGGTAAAATCGAAAAATAAAATAAGAGTCTCCAGAGAATAAAAGGGAAGAAAGAAAGAAAGAAAGAAAAAAAAAAGTACTTACTTCCAACCTCTTGATACATACACGCTTGTTACGCGACTAAAAGGAAAAAAAAAATTAAAAAAAACGAAAAGGGTAGAGAGAGAGACAGAGAAAAAGGGAGGAAGAGAGAGGGAGAGAGAAAGAGAGAAAGAAAAAACGCGTCTTTATGAAACTCGAAAGTATAAAACAGCGCACGATCTTGTTTGCATGTAAATTACACTAAAGGGACCTGTTGAAACGCATCCATGGTACTAAAAAAAAAGTTTAAAAAAAAAAAAAAAAAAAAAAAATTCACTGGTAAAAAAACGCCTTTTATTAACGACCCCGCTTTAATGTCTCTGTGAATATAATATGAATATTAAAAATATAAATATGATAAATCTAAAATGAATATATAAAAAAAAAAAAATTAAAAAAAAAAAAAAAAAAAAAAATAAAAATAACGTTCACTCGCGATATCTACAACAAACGTTAATTATCATGCAACGTGTAACGTGCAACGGTTGCAAAGCTGCCAACCCGAATATATATAAACATGCACATATATAGGACAACTACATGAAACAGAGAGAGATAAATAGAAATAGAAATAGAAATAGAAATAGAAATAGAAATAGAAATAGAAAGGTGCACAGCAAGAGGGATGGAGGATGGGGTGAATCGAGTAGAGAGTGAGAAAGAAACAACAACTAATATAAATATAAAAAGCATGGCCCACGTGCGAATGCTTACTGCATTCAGCTTCGTCCGAACCATCCGAACAGTCTGGATTCTCGTCGCACATCCATGTTAATGCCACGCACTCGCCATTTCCCGAACGACAAGTAAATTGTTCCGCGGTGCAATTCTTCAATCCTGAAAGGTGACAACAATAAATTTCACGAAGTTTACATGTTGCATATTCGGTAACCGTGATTTCAATTGCATACGCATCACCCACGGAACTTAGTTTTTTAGTAACGTCATTTTGCCTCCGCCTTATTTTTCTTATTTAAAAATTTGTCTTCTTCTACCAAAATGGTGCGCTTTCGTCAATTCAAATTTGTCGTTGAGTTTAATCTCTTTTTTCTAATTTGCAGCATCATTTTTTTTTTTTTTTTAATATAATATATTTATACTTATGATTTTCTTTCAGAAATCTTAAATACGCGAGAAATGGTATTTGTACGCTTATAAGATAATAATTATATCTGTCTCTCGTTCTGTTCTTCCCAAGCATTGATTTCTTTCCTCTATTCTCTTCCATGTTTTTCTTCCAGTGCTTTTCTATCCTAAGATAAAATGTTTTTTTAGACGTATAACTTACTATTACAATGTTTTTCATCGGAACTGTCATGACAATCGTTTTGATGATCGCATACCCAACTATTTGGAATGCATTCTCCTGGATTGCATTGGAATTCGTTCTCTCTGCACACCCGTGGCTCTTTTCGTGCGTCACATTCAATTTTATTTAAGTTAATTCATGCGCGTCTTCAATGACTTTCTTTTGAAAGTCAAATACGATATTAGCAATGTCAATGTGAAAACGTAATAAATGAAATGTATATGTATCAGAATAAAGAGATAATCTACATGATAATACTTTTAAGATATTAATCATACTTACGCCAATATTCATTTCATACTAATTGATTATCTTTGTGTGTTGGTGATGATTTTAAGATAACAAATTTGATTCAAAAATTGTATAAGAATTATAATATAACGATTTGATAAAATATTTTACCCGATTTCTCTGTGCTCCCGTAATATTCACACGTGCATCGAAATACGCATTAACCTTTGATAGTTCGCATTAGAATAGTAAATATATGTTCGGATATATTTCCATTGTTTTGAATTTCATTTGGATAAGCACACGAACGTTAGCAAAAAACGATGCGACACACTCAAATATTATATTACGTTGCCTGTTAGTTTACTATGCTGACGAAATATTAAATTAACCGTTCGAGAAACAGGATCTCCATTATGTTATATCAACGCGACAATAATACCACTTCTAAAATTGCTTGAACTGATTTTAAGTGTAATCTCTTTGAGGGAATTAGAATTTTTATGAAATTATATTTATTTCACTTATTTTTTTCAAGAATTTTTAAAAATCAATATTATATAAATATTTTCAAGCAGTTTCTTTTCAATATTTTTTAAATAATTATTTTTAATCAGAAAAAAATTTAGTTTCGAAAATTCTGCATATAATATTTCATTATAAATATATAAGACTATCGGAATATAATGATAAAAATAATAACTTAAAAATAATTAAATACATTGAAAAAGATTTGTGATTATATCTAGTAACTTTTCAACGACAGTATACATAGTATATACGTAAGTATGTATGCTACTTCACCTGCGTAAAACCGGTCGTTAAAGTTGCACTTTCACATACCGCAGTCACCGTCGCAAGAAATTCGTGAAACGTGTGCTACTCCGAATGACGACGTTTTCAAATTTCTTGATCGATCTTCTTCTTTTTTTTTTTTAAGGAGAGGGGACACCGTAAACTTACGGGAGCAAAGAGAACAAGGGAGGGGGGATAGAGAGAGAGATAACAAAAAAAGAAATAAAAATGGAAAAACGAATTTTATTCCCGAGAATACGAAGAGTACGATCAAATTCGAATTGGTGGTGCTCCCGATAGAATAACCGATACAATTACCATAAAATACGAGAGGATTTTCGTGTCCTGTTTAAACTGAATGTAATGCTATCCCAATAAAACAACATCCTTTTCAAATTTCGACATTTACCTCTCTTTCCCTTTTTTTCTCTCTCTCTCATTCTTTATGGATAATCACGTTATTTACACAAATTGTCCAATTTTAATCGATTTATTTTGTATCGGAATTTTGAATAAAATAATTCCAAAAGAAAAACCTAATTTAACAAAAATAACTAATATAACAATAAAAAAAATAATTAAAAATAAAGCTAGCGGTTTGCGTATGGCTATTGTATATTTTTACATTTTAAATTACCATTGAAATTTAAATACATTTCGATATTCGCATGAATACTTATCATCATTGTTGTAATACATTAATGCTATTAATTCGTTTCAAAGAAGATATACAATACTTAAGTATGCATATGAGCTTTTTGTACTTTGAACCGTTCATTACATGTAAGTTAGTATAATATATACATGTATTAAAAAACAATTCAAATAAAAGAGAGAGAAAGAGAGAGAGAGAGAGAGGGAGAGAAAATAATTACGTAACAAAATTCTTCGCGAAATAAAAATAAAATCGTATGATTCTACTATTATCAATTAAAAAACTAAAGATAATATGAAGGAGTATAATATGATTGAAAAAAGAATAAAAACTCACTGCAAACATTAGGATCTTCATCGGATTCATCATCACAATCCTTTTCCCCGTCGCAATGCCATAACCCAGGTATGCATCTGCCACTGTTACATTTGAAGTCGTTTTCGCTGCAATTATCTGTACCTGAAAATTGGTGGCTGTTACGATGATCTACCTCGATAGTAGAAACGAAGATCGCAATGAACGATAGCAGCCAGAGTAGCCTTGTGCATGTAGAACCAGTCGAATCGTGGAAGAAGAAGCATGAGCTCTTGAAGGGCTCCATTATTGATAAAAGTTTATTTTTCTCTTGCCGCACGTATGTCTATATATGCACGTATGCGTATTTATTTCTATTTCTATTCGTTTAAGCGTTCACCGTATTTTGTTCTATAACTATACACACTAGTTTCTATACAAACTGATTCAGCAATTTTTCGTTTTCCCTTCTTTTTTATGTTTAAAATTAAACGGATCGCAACGAGGCCAACGAGCTTATCGTCAAACCAATTTGTTGTTGTATTTTTGGTTTGTTTGTTAAATAATAATATTTTTATCGATAAACCCTTGAAAATTTAAAATAGCACAATTTTTAATCCCAGTTCGTAATTCGATGGTACAGCATCACGATATCCTTATTCCTACCGATGAAAGCTCTTCCGAGTTTCCATCCTCGTTCCGTTCCTACTCATTATCGTCCGCCGACTGAAGCAAGTTTTTTACACGAGTCGAGTTCCTCGAGCACACAGTGAACGAACCAATAGCAGTAACACAGTAAACCGGGCGTTCTCTAAACGATAATCGACTGACTGACTGACTGACTGACTGTTTCTTTAGACGCTCGTCGATCTTTCTTGATCGAACGGTATCCCTTAAGAGAACACGATGATGCAGTGTTCTCTCACGAATGGACCACTTTTGCGTCCCTCTCCTTCCTTTTTCTTGACTTTTGTGCACACCACAAAACGAGGGAACACCAGTCTTCTGATTCGATCCTTTCACGTCTCCCTTTCTTTCTTATTTTATATATTTTTTAAATTATTTATTTATTCCCGATTGAAATTCATACACGTTAGGATCTAATAATCTATCATTGTTATGTAGATTTTTATTATGATTGATAAGAATTTGTGTGTTGTAACAAAAAATCACTACGATTTGAAGGATAAACTTATTTCCTTTTGTTCGCGATTACTACTTCCTTTCAGAAAAAAATATCACCACCAATGTATGAATATTTATAAATATATTTATAAATATGAAATATATGTAAACGCGAAGGATGGAAAAAAAAACACGATAAGAGCACCAAGTATAAGGTAATCCTTTTCGAAGGGGGACGAATCTGAGATCGAAACAGACAATACGATTTGATTCGCTCGCGGTAGAAGTCGCGGATGCTGTAAGCCTGCGCCTGAGGAAAGAGGCCCTATATATGGGCCTTTACACAAACACAACGATAGGTATATTGGGGGGGTTAGTCGCGTGATACGTGTCTGCGCTTATGTGAATAAATGTGTGACCGCGCGCGTGTGTATATATGTGTGCATGTATTTGTATCGACGAAGAAATGCAACACGCTAAAATATTCTATGTTTCTACCCTGCGTATTCAACAAAAATAAATATAAATAAAATAACTCACGTTTTTTTCTTTAATCGTGTAATTAGATAGGTTCCGTTGACATCAGCATTATTTTTCAACATTTACATTGAATGTTAGCAAAATATCAACGATAATTATTTCGATTCTTAAGTTTCAAGAAAAATTGACGAGACAAATAATTTAAATTTTAAACAAATTTATAGGGAGAAATTAGTGATACCTAATTGTGATAAATTTTGTTTGATTGATATAATTTTGTTGTTAACTTTCGAAATAAGGAGAATGTGAAAATCGACGTGAGATTACATCAGCATTAGAAAGACAGCCATAAGATATCTCGAAGCTATGGAGGTAACTATCGATTACTCGTTCATATATACGTATATGACGTATATACTTATGCACAGATTTTGTATAAAATATGATGCACGGTTGGAAAAAAAAAATGTTATATATAAAAAAAAAAGAGTTAGGAGCTATAATTATCTTGTTATATATTAATGATATTTAAAGTAAGTACATAAAGTAAGTTAAAACGGAAGGAAAAAAAAACATTAAATACGTCATTGGGGATATTAGACGATCGATAATAGATCGAGTTGCAAGTTTTTAATCGTTAATAGATAAAAAGCATGAAGTTTACAAGTAGATACTCCAGTTTTCTGGTGCATCGTGGCGCGTCGTAGCAATGGATATTGAGGTTGGATTACCTATTTAGGATGAGAGCCCGGATACGTTCACGTACATTGTGGGGAAAAGTCCCCTAGTGGCGAACACTTAAGGTTTTCAGGAAATTTAATAAAAACATTGTATATAGTATCTATAAAATACGCGCTATTCCACATGAACTAATCCTAATACATTTTTAATTGGAGTCACGTTTTTTTTATACCTTATTTATTTGTAAACTCATTCTAATCGCTTTATCTCGCATATTAATTATTCAACATAGCTATTATTTATTTATCTATCTTTTTCCCTTGTTAAAACTATAATTCTTTTAGAATCTAACGAACAAAGCAAAACCATTAATAAAATAGTAGAGATTCCTACAAAATTTAATTGGATTAATTTTGTTGTTTACATTTTTATTATATAATAGATTTAATTACCTGAAATTTTGATTCCTATTAAAAGTATCATCGTTCAAGATTAATTGGATAAATAAATTACGATCGGAAAGAATTTTCTTTTATTTGTTAAAAATCGATCGAATGTGTCATCTCGATGATGATTTTATTCACAAATGATGATAACAATTGTGTGAAATAAAAATGACAAGGCGATAAATATTGGTGTCAGTCGATAATGATGATTCCTATTTGTAAATCGGCTAAAAAATTCTTAAACTGCGGAGAAATGATAATAATGCGGAAAGACGTTTTAAAGATCAATTGAAGATCATCGATAAATCGTTTATTCTTCAATTTTTCTAAAGAGAATTCTGTTTTACTGCTCTTATCGAATCTCATGTGCGTTTAATTTCAATTGTTATCCGCGTTTGATAAATCATTCCTATGATTTTCTTTATTCTGTCAATTTAAATAATGATAAAAGAATTCAATTTATAGCCGCTCGATTAAGCGAAACACTAATTAAATTTCATTCTACCTTTTGTAGAAAATTTTCTGAGACGTTGAGCGTTAAAACGTCCAATCTAAAGTAATTTATAATTCCGTTAACAGCAAGAGTCTTCCGGACGTAAGTATATACATACATACATAGTATTCCAACATTTATTATCCTTTTTTTCTTTTTCTACTAATCGAATTATAATAAAAGAAACAAATTGATCGATAAAACTTCTCTCATTCGCGCGCGCAATGACATATTTATAAATAATTAATTTATATGATAAGTATACGCGAACAAAGAAACGGACAAGCAGTTTCTCTGCTATATTATTCTATTTCAAAAATACATTATATCAATTATATACTAAAAAAAAAAGAATTTAGAAATTATCTTCGCCATAGAAATTATACGACACATATGAACTAAACACGGTGTAAAAAGACTATCTAATTAATAAAATATATGCATACCCCTATACATGCACTGACATGTATTTTCTTTAAAAAAGTTTATAAGATTTGATAATAATTGATAATATATATGTTTGTTTGTTTGTTTATCAAATTTATGTTTATGAATTTTATTGTTTATTAAGAAAGATTAAGAAAAGAAATATGAATTCGAAAAGTTGTTGAAAGTAATAAAGAAAAGGGAACGAACGAGACGACCGTTCATTCGTTCGTTCGGCAACAGTCCATCAGTTTTAATCAAAGGCGTAATACGGGACGAGATTCTTTAGGAGGCCAGAAACTCGGCATGTTCTTTCCAAGCGTGCCTCCATTAACGAACCACGAACCTTGCGTGTGCAACGTATGCAATTATGTATATATTCCTTTTATAAACTTCTACCTATACCTATTCATGTATATGTGTATGTGTATATAATATGTATATATGAATAAATTCGATTTACATATGAATATGTACGTTAAGTAAATGCATATATGTGTCAAATGCATCTTGAACGCACCTGATACAAATATCCGTGCGTTTCTAGTGCGTTAAATTAATTCGAGTAAGAACAATTTCTTTATTTCTTCGAATTTTTTCAAATAGTTTTTTATGAAAAAAAAAAACAATCTTCGTTAAGTTCGTGAAAGCCAACAGGATTGTTCTACAATTTGTGAATTAGAACAAATCAATTGAGGAGTTCAAAAAATTAAGTTTAGAATGGTTTTAAGTAGACTCAATGGTATACACATAGTTGGTTGGATTAGTCTAAAGTTTTTACATAAGCCAAAAAGTTCTTTGTAGTTTTATAATGACTTACAAAAAAACAAACAAAAAGAAAATATATAATTGGTATAAAAAGCCTTTGGAAAAGGAATAATCGATTTTTAAAGAAATCATTTAAGAACTTTTGACCTATATATATATATCCCGAATAATAATAAAATAATAAAAGGAAAAAGGATTGATCATTCAATTGTTTCACCTTCAATGGTCTTTCGTTCGTTCATGGTAATAGGATTATTCTTGATGAATTGAACAAATACGAAAATGCTATTAATTCACCATTGAAGATGTTTTAATCCTTTTAGTATTCAACCACGCGATGTTATTACATATGTGTATGTAACTGGATTGTATATAACTCGGTATAAGCATAATTATTGTCATCTCCAAGGCAATGCACTTTTAAGAGATTACGTCGCCTTGTCGTTATTAAATGATTTTCTTAAAAGTATAGTAAAATAGCTCGTTGGAATGTATTATATAAAATATATATATATTGTCTATGTTCAGCTAAAATTCTTTAGTTAACATATATGTTAATTTGAGTTATTACAAATTTCTCATGAGAAAAATCAAGTTTGAAAAAAGTATGTTATTTGTTAATGCTTTCTCTATCTGTAACATAATAAGTAATGAACTTATCCCAGGTTGCTTATGAAATTGCAATGTAAGCTACATAAATTATTTTGTGCCAAAAGCGTAGTTAGTTACTTTTGGCTGAACATAGA